AATTAGCTAATTATGGGAAGCAAGGGATTCATGCATGCTCAATTTTTTACCCGAAAAGCCATTGCCTTGCTGCTGAAAGCCTCTGTTTGCACATATGAACACCAACAAAGCTGTCCACTTCCAGAACACCTCTGTTCCACCTTACCAATACACTGTGCAAATTTCATTGATGGCCGACAGGGGGCCGGTCGGCTACCATTGGTGGTAGCTATCGGCCACTGCTGTCCTGGACTTTCTTGCTGCAACAGAGAGCAAAATAGTGTACTCTCAAGGGTTGTTTGCACACTTTGCCTCTCATTTTCATGGAGAAATCAAAGAAGAGATAAAAATTGATTCATAAACCATCAATCAAGCAATTTCATTGCATGATGGCTTGTGAAACCAATTGTGCAAGTTTAATAAGTGCAAAATGAGACCAAAATGACCATCACCATATCATGCATGATCAAGGGCAATTGAGACCTAGGAAAATGACACATTTTATCACTTTTGAGTATGAAGCGTCCCATTTTCCATGTGCTCAAATTAACGTCCAATTTGAACATATGTAATGCAACATAAAGGAATGCTTATCTTGTCACTTTTACTTGCCAATTTTGTTTACACATTTTAGTTACCAAATCATTCATTAATCAATTTGTCCATTGGTGAGTGTCTTCTAAGATGAAAGAAGTGTCAACCAAGGGATAGTTTAAGGCATGAGAGAAGCTTCATGCCATTGGTAACGAACCCTCAAAGGAGGATTAAACCATTAAGCATGAGCCTCAATCTCAAGCTTAAACAACCCTAAGGTTGAAACAACCCTCAAAGAAAATGAAAAAGTGAAGAAATGAGGGAGATTCCAGAGATTGTAAGTGCTGAAATTAGGTGAGAAAAAGCACTAAAACATCCAATCAACTCAAACAAGTGGTGTCTAAAGGCCGAAAACACCAAGGTTGTGAGGACTATTACACTACAACTATGCAAAACAAGAATCAAATGAACTACCCAGCCCAAAATAGAGCTAAAGCAAGCTATTTCAGAGGCTAAAACATGCTAGACTTGAGCTAAGTTAAGCTAGAAAAATATGGTAACATATAAAGCTAACTAAGCATGCAAGCAAGACACAAGAAGGGGAGGCTAACCCCTCTAAATTTGGACTTCAAAACATGATTTTAGACACTGAAAATACTCCAAAATTCAGTACTTAAAAGCTCAAAAATAGATAGTGTAAAGGTGGGAAACACAGGGGCAAAAAAATCTGCTTCCAGGCCCAACTTTAAAGGGGTATAACTCCTTCATCCGGACTCCTTTGCATGTCATTCTTGAGCCTAAATTGAAGCCCCAGAAGTCTACTTTCTAATGGAGTGGCCTTACATCAAAATTCTAAGTGTGCTAAGAGATATGCCTATTTTAGTGAAAGTTGCTCAGTTTTGGCTTAACCAGATTGATGCCTAACTTCAACCAGCCATATCTCCCTCATCCAGACTCGGCTTTAAGAGATTCTTGAGTGTAAAATGAAGCCCTAGAAGTCCACTTTCCAATGGTGGTGGCCTCACAACTTAAGTCTAAGTGTAGAAAAGGATAGGCCTGATTTAGTGGGGCTGCCCAGTTTCTCTCTTAACAGTTCATGCCCAACTTCTCTCCCAACTAATTTTCTTCCCTCTCCTCCAATTTTCTTCAACTCCAAATCTCTAAATAAGATTTTTCAAAGGATGTTTTTTAAAGAGTTCACCTCTCTTCCATTTATTTCCACTTTGTCCTTGCTCGGTTTACCGAAAAGTGCAATTTTAACAAAATGCGAGCCTCGAAACATCGTAGAAATATTTTGGGAAAAATATGTTGAAAAAGAGGGTTTTAAGGTCTAAAAAAGTTTTGGACAAAATAGTTTTGGTCCAAAATAGGGTGTAAGGTTAGGATTTAGAGCTCTTCTTGCTAAAGAAATCGAACATTTGCACAGCACAATTTTCATCATCGAGTGATCAATCAGTGGCACCCAAGTCCTAAGGGCAGTTAAAAATGGGGTGTCTATAATGGGCAACAAACCATAGATGAATTAAAGAGAGAAGACATCTTCAAGGACTCTTAAAGATGGGGAATTTTTTATTTACTTATTTATTTTTATTTTTTTGCTGCTGAGGCAAAGTCTTCAAAAATTCAGCTTCCATAAAATCAAAAACACTAGTTAAAAAAAAACAATACTCAATTAGTACACATTAATGTGTGTTTGGGAGGGAAAATATTGGGTACACAACCACAATACACAAACTACAAAGTATAAGTACAAACTGCAAAGTATTCAAGAAAGCAACAATACCACAACCACAATACACAAAATTATGTCGAACACCTAGATAAGACAGATTTGACACATAATTGGTAATAAGAAATTTACACAATCAAATGAGATTTGAAAACTGATGCATGCCGATTATCGCATAATATGCTGCCCCAAACTCAATAATCTTCTAAGTAACTTCTTACATCTCAAGTTATAAAATCACAAGACAATAATAGAAACCAGAATCCCAGTGCTGGCTGGCCCTCTATATGTGTGGCTATAATCTAAATTTCAATACCATTACACAACAACAGCTATGAGGTACCATTATTTGATTTTGAATGAATTCTAGGTCACAAGACAAGAACAAGAATATAAGCAGTCAAATTCAAATTCTTACTGGGTACATACTGTCGGTTGAGATGGTTATGCAGATATATACACAACTTCAAAGCAATTGAAAGTAATATTACTCTACATAAAAGTAACAAGAAGCTTGAGATGGGCTTAATCCTGACAATGTCTTTGTTCTAAAGTCCAAGCCTTGCCACAAATATAATATGTTATTTGAAAAGCATAGACATATTCGTGAACTTAAAAGTCCAAACTACAGACATATAGAATTTGTTCCGGATTTTCTAAACTACAGATTCATTGGGGATCTACATGCTAGGCCACCAGTTAAGTTCCTAGAAGAAATTACATTGTTCCTTCCTATCCTTTTCCTATATATCCTTTCAACTTAAAACATATTTCAAATTGTTCACTAGTATCATTTAATTCTTTGAAAAATGGATTTAGAGGACTTGGTGAGATTTCATCATAAGATGGCTTTTTCAGTGAAAAAGGAAAATGAGAAATTAGGACTTCATTAGTATTGTAGAATTTTGAAAATACATAATTCGAAGCCAAGCCTATAGGATAAAGCACACAAGTTTGGCATCATGAACATTTCATTACAAAATCACTTTTTCTTTATTGGTAACTTGAGCTGGCTCATAACACTTGTCTCTTTATTGGATGAATGTAGCCTAAGCTGCTGGGGAAATGTTGCACACCAAGGGAGAAAGTTATGTTTCATTATACAAACATTGCATAAGTCTATGAAAGCAATTCTAGATAGCCACTAATCTAATAGATTCATCATTACCCTTCATACTTCTGATACCTGTGCCAAGTACCATTCAATTTTCCTTGTTTCATCTTGACAAAATGTGAAATTTAGTCTATCAACGTTGTTTCCCACCTAGGAAACATATTGAAGATGATATAGCACGTGATTGGGCTGACATCCAAGCCTATGACCCAGTTGGTAATTGGAAGACATCCCAACAAAGAACTTTCAAAATCCATAAAGAAATAAACCAAAAGGAATGAAAACAATTTGAAATAACTAATCACAAATAAGCAATTTACACTGTTCAAAAACAAGGACATACAAGCATAGGCAAGATAGATTGTGAAAAAATCCATTTACATTTCACAAGATATGGAACAATTACTGATACCAAACTCATAACCCTTTCTTTCTTCCGCAACTCTATCAAATCTAAAGTTCTGTCTCAATACCCTATATTAGTTACTTAGCTAGTTGCTTACCATTATCATGAAACTTCAGACCAAACCCAAGAACAAACAGAAAATTAATACAATCATAGAAACTGAAATCTTAGTTCTTTAGTCTATGATGTGAAAGATGCACTTTAACCCAGTAGAGTGGCTGGTAGTCGGGTTAGGTGATGTTCAGCAAGATTTGTGCTGACAATTGGAATAGTAGCACCACGTGTCGAGAGACGAATGGGAGTGGATTTGGCGCGCAGAAGGTATATAAGTAAGTCTGCGTCCCCCATGTTGGGGCAAATGACATTTTGGTGAGATAAACACTAAACACTACTGAGTCCTCTCTCTCTCTCTCTATCCTTGTGTGTGTGTCTAGCTTGATCGTCGGAAAGGTTTTCCGGCCACACACCGCCAGGTAGCTCACCGCCGTTGTGCACGCAGGTGATCGGATAGAATCGGAGCTCGGAAGCAATAAGTGCGGGCTCGCCTGGATATTTGCTCCCCGCACAAATACTATTGATTACTTTTTTTGGCAAGTTCAATACTATTGATTTCTTTCTATATCTATGATATGATCACTCTTTTATTGCTTGAAATTTGACAAAGTATCCTATAGAAAGACAAACTTCGGAAAGCATAAAGAATGAAGATTAGTGCTCTTCGAATTATAGTTCCAACTTCAATGAATAGGAAGGGCACAATAAACATGGAAATAATTAAAGATATTCTATATAAAAGAAAGAACTTTGAAATAGCAAAAGATATAACTAGAATTTGTATTACCTCTTCTTCTCATTCCTTAATTATTAAGGTCAATTGGCACCTTCATAAAATCATCAGGTGATACTAAACTCTCTTGATAGATCTCCACTTTGTGAAAATCAAGAACGCCGTAAATGGAACGATACTTGACTGTATGTTTTATGAGATCGTAAAGGACCAATGTCCCACCAAAATTTCACCATCCTTGAAAAACCACAAAATAGGCCTTTGTTGCGGCACGCATGTCATACTGACCAATTTAGTCCATGACTCTTTCTTGCCATGTTCATTCATTACCCACACATCAGAAAAAGTAAAAGTATCCTCACAAACAACACAAAGATTTCCTTTCAAAGCCCAAACTAATAACCTAGAAACTCTTCCCGTAATTAGGTTATGGAATTTCTCTGTATGTCTCCTATGCTAAATCAAGAGCTGTGATAACCGAAGAGTGATCACTAGGGTTGATTCCAACCCAATTGAGTGATCCATTCACAAGCTTACCTGAATCCATAGAATGAAAACCAATTATATTGCTATGGAAATCCTGAATCTTTCTCTATGAATCAGTCCTTAAGGAATAAATCTTAACTTCAAGTGAATCATTAAAATTACTGATCCTAACCAACTTGTAATCATCATTGGAGGAGTCATATTGAAACCCATAAGAAATGAAAACAATAAATCCTTTCCCAAAAGACGGCAAAATTTTGCGTTTTCCAGTTGTTGGATTCCATATATAAATGATATCATAATTTTCGACAAAGTAAACACATACCAACCCATTGAATATAGGGAGAGTCCTCAATTCTTCTCCATGAACTAGTTCTTAGTCTATACACACTGACTATATTATCATCAAAATCACAACCATAGTCATAATGAGCAATACTCACAACTTTGTAGTCATCACTGGATGAGTCATAACCAAGCCAATAACTATCTAAACACAAACATTTATTAACAGAGTTGATTGAAAAAGGTGAAATTGGCAATTTTTTAGATTGTCTAGTAGATGGGTTAACCAAAAAGAAAGAGAAATAGTCATTGAGCATTAATAATAAACCATTGCAGGAACCCCAAATCTCCTTACAATGATTTGGGTTTTGCTTGGAAGGGAATTTAAGGTGGAAAGCCTCGAAATTGTCTTGAAATTGGAAAGTTTTGAAATTGACGGTGTGGAAATTGGAAGAACTCAAAAGAATGATGAGTCGATCGTGATGGTGATTGTTCTTTGTGTTGCGATTGAGTTGGGTTTTGATGAAAAAAGGGCCGGAGATGAGAGAGAGCCACGGCTTCGAAACGCACTTGAATCGACAGAGAGTGGTGACGGAGAATCGACAGAGTATGTTGACGATGATCTTGTTCGGAAGGTTCGCCATTGATTTGCTTTGCATGTCCTTTTTTTTTAAACTTTTATTGCTCTGTATGGTTTTATATGCATTTAAAATTAGGGCTAATCACATCCAGCAACAATTACGAAATTATTACTTAAAAAACCCTTCTAAACTTTTTTTTTTAAAATAAATAAATTTGCACCCCTCAATTATAACATTATTTTATTTTACTATGGCTATGTTTTACTCGTAATAAAATTCGTTTCTCAATCTTATTCAAGTGTAAATTCTGAACAATTATCCAAGTGATTGTGGAAAGAGCATTAGATACAAAGTGAGAAAGATTTTAAGTTCAAATCTATAAAAAGAGTCGGACTTATAGCTCAACTGCTATCTACTGTAATACGTTATATAATATATATATATCTTATTAAGTGTTTTGTTTATAAGAAATTCTGAATAAGAAATAAATATATTAAATAATATAAAACTATCTTTACACTTCAATGACTAACATTCTCTCAAATGTGAAATTCTCATGAAAAATTAAGAAATCAAATTCTTTTTTCTTCTTCTTTCTTCTTCTTTTTTTTTTTTTTTTTTTTTTATGGACAAAATATTATTTAGTTAAATGTAATATATATGCAATAATAATAATAATAATAATAATAATAATAAGGAATCACTTTTCTATTCTAATTTGTTCCAAATGGTAAATTATGAAAATGATAATTAACTTCTCATCTCCTTTAAGATTATTTTATTCAAACACTACGAATAAGTTTTCACAAATGATTTGATCTAGTTCTAAAGTAAATTACACCCTACTCATGTTTTTTTTTTTTTTCATGACAAACAGAAAAAACTTCATTCCATATCATAAAGCATATTATTATATGGTAAAAGATAGCATAGAAAAAAAAGAGGCACCCTTGAATTGCTTTGCCTTTTATAGGCAAAGCATGACCTGCAAATCAACAAAACTAACAAAAAATAAATAATATAAAATAAATATAAAACTTATATCATATTTATTATATTAATTGAGTGGAAGCGAATTGGTGGCGTGGGTGCACAATTAAATACTGCGCACTTTTTTAATATAATATTTAAAATATATTATTTATATTAATTTTTGTAGAAACACTCAAAATATATAAAAACACACAAAAATATGTAAAATTATAAAATAGTAACAATAAATGGACGAATAAGATGTATTTTAGGGGCTAAAAATGTAACATTTAGGCTCCAATCACACCCCTAAACTTACATTTTGCTAGTCATTGAGCAAAACAAATTAAAAAGAAAAGAAAAGAAAAGAAAAGAAAATCTATCTATGCTGTTTTTGTAGGGAACACAATTGCATTTAGTATATGCAACTAGCTTTTGAACCCTTAGGTTACCCCTATTGGATGAGTTGTAGTCTCATGAGGGTTTGCAGTGAATGTACCCACAAAATTCAATTTTTTTTTCTTTTTTTTTATTATTTACATTTTCTCCTCTTTTTTATTTTGAATATTTTTGTTTTCAAATATATTTTTATATATTTAAATGTGAGCTCAGAGAATATCTTCAATCTAAATGCTAGAAGTCTAGAAGATTGTAAATTCCCTACATTAGAAAAATAATTAGTTATAGTCCAAAGCACTAGGAATAATTAGGAATACGACATTTATTTCTAAACTCGGTATGCATGATTTTTTTAATTCACACAGATACGTCCTCAATTTCAAAATGAAACACAACCCCAAAATTTCCATCTGAAGCATGCTTTGACTCAATTCTTTCTAGTTTACTCTCAACAAATGAAATACTCTGAAATACCTCAGCCCACTAGAGTATATATGTGAGAAAAGAAAGTTATATTTATCAAAACGAAAATTTCTCACATTTAACAACGAAAAATGCTGTATAGAAAAGTAAGTGTAGTCTCATGATACCGAAATAATGAAATTATGCCACTTTGTCATCTGAAAAATTATGCCAATCCCAAGATCAATTAGGGCTTTATTTTTGGTTGTAATGTTAGGTTAAAGGGAATTATTTACAAAATTGGGTGAAAGGTAGAAAAAAAGGTGTCTAAGAAATGAATTAAGCTAAGTCAGCATATATGAAACGCTATTTTACTAACCCACCCTTTTAGCTCCTTTTTTTTTTTTTTTTTTTGCATGTGATTCACAACTATAACGATTCTAGTTTAGATGGGACTCGTTTATCCGGACCCGCTTATTGTTTTGGATCTGGGTTTCCTTATCCTTAATAGCTATCCATGTTCTTGTTTATCTTATTCCTTGTTTAGTTAGGTTGTGTAAGCCTTGTGGTTGCCTCTGGAATAGGTTAGGAGTTCACTTTTCCAAGGAGTCCTTGACTAGAATTTGCTTGTTCGATCAAGCAGTCTTTTACAATCTGCAAAACTATTGAGAGATTGATATTTGCGCTCGGGCGATACTTCTTGCACTCGAGCAAACTTTTACAGGTCTGAACTACTAGAGAGGTGCATTGTGTACTCGACCGACCATTCCTACACTCGAGTAGTGTCTTCGTTGTGTCTGGTTGCTCGAGTGACCATTCCTGCGCTCGATTGGTTTACGCGTATATCAGTCCGAGAAAGCGGCTTTTTGGATCACTTTTTCACTGGAGTACAAATTGAAAGTCATGAAAATGAAACTCTTTACAAAGATATTTAGAGGAAGCATATTGTATACCACTCAAATTACCTTAAAATAATTTCCTCCATCACCAACACATTAATCATTTGATATTTCACCATAGATCTCCAAAAATGACGAATCAAAATTCTAAGACATAAGGTATGTACGGTTTGACAAAATCTACAACTCTTCTATTTGATGAAATTACTAACACTCACTCTAAACACTCTCAATCTAAACTTGAAGTATATATCACAAATAGAGAGAGAGAGAGAGAGAGAGAGAGAGAGAGTGAGAGAGAGATGAAGGCTTGAGATGAAAAGAAAGTTTCCAATTTGCAAGTTATATAATGGGAGTAGAAGTAACCTCTAAGTAAACTTGGAGTGAAAGGAAAAACAAAAGAAATAAAGAAATGATAGAAAAAGGAAAAAAAATGGATGGGATGGCTGGACATGGTAAATCAATTAAAGTACATAGGTATGAAAAAAGGGGATGGAGTGGATGGCCATGCTTTTTGTGTGTGTGTGTGTTTTGCTTAGTAAGGAAGAAAGATAATAAATAGGGTAGACAAATTTATTTTCAAATAAAGATATATGAAATATTAATAATGATGAGATGGAGATAAAAGAGATAAAATAAATATAAGAAGACAAGTTAGGTTCTCATTTAACAATCTCATCACCAAACTATTATAATAAATCACCAACACCTCTGTAACACTTTGTATTCCTTGGATTAGTGGGATTTCTCTTAACACTCTTGTTATTGTACTTGGAGCCTCTTTGATTTATTTTATAATATTGATTGAGGTGGTATCATAATGGTAAAGTAGGATTGAACCAAAAATAATGATTTAGATAATTGTCCTATGAGTAGTTTTCACTTTATTACCTTTTTCTCTTTCCACACTTTCAATCTGGAAGTGAGGCCAGCACCATTGAAAAACTTGTTTCCGGGGCTTCGATTTAGACACAAGAACGACCCAAAACAGAGCTCAGACGAGGGAGTTATGCCCGTTTGAAATTTGAGTACCTATGTTGGAAGCAAGTTTGTTTGAGCAAACTTTTGACCGCTTAAGTGGTCTGCGCGAGTTATAGAGATTCTGGGAGCTTTCTTTCACCGCTAGAACCAAGTTTTGACTGCTCGAGCGGTTTGTTCAAAATCAGCACTTTAAAATCTCTCTTTTTGGTCAAATCTTTCACTTTCTTTCTCTCTCTCTCTCTCTCTCTCTCTCTCTCTCTCTCTCTCCCTCTTTTCCCTCCTTCTGCATATCCAAAAACCTAGCCTTCCAACCTTGATTTCTTCTACTTTTATCAAAGATTCATCCTAGATTTTGCAAGATAAGAAAAGAGGAAGTGAAGAGCAATATATCCACCAATTGAATCACTTTACATTTAATGTTTTCTTTGGATATTCATCTTCTTATCTCCATTCTTGAGGTAGGGGTACTTTTAAAATTGATATATTTATGATTTGATATATATATATATATATATATGTGGTATTTTCGTAGTTATAGTAATGTACGAGATGATTTTGTGATATAAAGTTGGTTTGATGAATAAAAAGGGGTTGTACTCCATGTTTTGGAAAAGTTTATGCATAACCTTCCTGATTATTGTTAGGAAGGGTGAACATTGACTCTTTATGTGTATAGGAGGGGAAAGCCCCAATTTTTCAAAAAAAACCCTAGTTTTCAAATTTGATTTAATAATTGGTTTGGCCAAATTAATTCTTAAATCATGAAATTGGCTGAATGATTATGGAAATGGTGTTGAGACATGAGATTATTGAATTTTCTTGGATATATGTATTAAAATAGCTAGTGAAAAATGGTGGGGGTTAGAGAAACCCTTTATTGTTGATACTATTAAATGTTGTTGTGAATTGAACAACCTTAGGAAAAAATAATGGCAAAATGTAAGGAATGATTTTTATTCAATAACGCCTAAAAATATTCACAACTTTGCCTAAAAAATACAAAACACAAACAAGGCAGCAGGGGGACAAAAATAGAAGAGCTAAGATACTACGAAAAATAAGAAACAGAGAAAGCCAAATACACTCACTGAAGACCATCAGTCACTCCAATACAGGCTCATATAGTTGAAGGACCTAAGAAAGAGAGACCCTCCATGTGTTCACCTTAGAGTAACATGTTAAAGTATCATGCAAGTCCTTGTGTCTCTGTAATAATATTCAATGCTGTTTTTTTTTTTAAAAAAAAATTACCTCAGGGAAACTTTCCTAAAATATTGACGTAACGTGTCTTTGCCACATTGTTATTGTTTTCAAACACCTTTAAAGCATCATATCCTGACCAACTGAACCATATATGATATTTTATATATATAAATATATACAATGGTGTTGGAAAGAAAATTATGAGAT